ATATATATATATATATATATATATATATTTCTTCCAAATAATTTACCTTAATATTTCCCACTAAACTCACATCCAAACAAATTACTTCAACAGTTTAGGAAACCATTACAATATCCATATTCTGTTTTCTTACATTTAATTAACAGCAAATAAGTACATTTCCCATATCATCTAATCAATGTAAACAGCTGCATTTCATAACTAAAATTCCAATTGATATTTTAGCTGGTCCATAGTTGTTCACTAACTACATCGTCCTAACTCAAAAACCAAATATATATCCAAAACAAGATGAATTGAGTCAATCCTATACCCCAGCTAGCTCAATCGATCATCAACTATCATAGTAAAGCACTATGAATTCTACATTAACGATTACTACACAAAATTGAACCTCGAGATCAAGATCAAGTACCGAATATTATAATTGAAATTCAAAAGTATAAATTCCAGCATATATAGCAAGGGTTTCAACCTTTAGATCGAGGAGAGAAGAATAAGACTTGAGGCGGGCGAGCTTGAAGGCGCGGAGGAGGATTCCAATTCCCACGCGAATGCCATAAGAAAGGAGGAAAGTCTGGCATAGGTTTCCAACGGCGTTCGCAACGCAGGACTCATCGGCGTGATCGCACGGATGATGGAGCCCACCCTTGGCGCGCCTCTGCCGCATCTGCAGATCCTCTATGGCCTCTCGCAGCCGCTCCTCCGCCTCTCGCAGCCGCCGCTCAGGCGCATCGGCCGGTTGTTGCTGCGGCGGTGGCGAAGAATTACTCATTTTTGTGTAAAATAGAGAGGTTTCAGCATCCGAGTCTCAAATTCCCAGGAGAGATTTCGTATTTTTTTCCCCTATTTGGTACTGTGAAACGGAATAGTAATAATGCAATAAAAAAGGGTCATCTGAATTTGCTAGGGGAATTTCACCCTCGGTCACTGAACTTTCAGAAAGAGTTCAATTGGATCATTAAACTTTAATTTAAATTCAAATTATCACTTTTTCACATTTCTTGAGCTACCATCCTCCATAATGAAGATGTTGGCAGTCATACTTTTAACTCTGCATAATTACAACATGATACTCTAAAAATGATATACCATATGCCAATATTTTTACATTAAAAGATTATTATTTTAATACTTTTACGCGTGGTAAATTGATGTAGGAATACCGAATATGTAACCACTTTACCCCAAAAGTGGTAGGCCATGAAAGAGGTCAATCCACCATACATCAACGTTTGAAGTTAGTTTGCAAACGCTCATGTGTACCTCCAATTTTTGACATTTTTCTTTCAAATTATTTTTGCACATCTTTTTATTGACATTTTTAATTTTTTTCATTTTAACTCCGAGTTGAATTAAGCTGTTTTGCCAGAATTTGGTGTCCACCCTTTGACAGAAGCAGTGTTGCCAGGTTTTCGTCAGTGCAAAAATTGTTGTGTTTTTCAAATAGGAGAATTACAGAATGCCATGTGGCACTATGTCAAAGAATGTGACAAAGTTGTCTAGCAATGTAGCAAAATTGCTCCGAGTTTAATCCCTCAAGATATACATTTGATTAGAGTTCGGAATTTATAGCAGAAACAAATCTCAAGACTTCAATGCACAAGTGGGCTGCGATTCAGCTGAAACTAACACACGAGCGGTTACAAAGAACTCCGCCTTTTTGCTTTCTCCGCGTGCAGCAAGTGATCGATGGATCTCGATAAACATTTTTGCGAAAAATCTAAATGCAAAACATTGGAGGAAATAAAAAACAATCGACAATGATACGATGGAACTCGAGTGAAATGATAGGTAATGTAGAAATTTCTGCCCAAACTTGACAAATATACTGCGACATGATTGCAAAAATAGGCCTTTCTCCATTACATGTTCGGACGTAGCGTAGTATATCAGACCAGGTGACAACTTTTGATTTCCGCCCATACCACGAAAGTTACTGAAGCACCTCGGTATGGTTCCTCACAGATTATTACTGGCCACGTCCAAAATCTGAAGTCCAATAAGATGACATAATTCCCGTGAAATAGTTCCCCGAAACTTGTTCCCACGAATACGATACGAAGGTTGAGAATAACAAGTTTCGAAAGTTTCTTGCCTGTCCATCCCGGTATATTTCCACTAAACAGGTTATCCCCTAGATCGCACAGACGCACACCTTCCAAGATTTGCAGGCAAGTGTTCCATTTAGTTGATTGTGTGAAAGATCTATATACTTTTAACTTGTTCGGTTATTCAATTTGATAGGGAATTGGAACTTCACCTCTTCAACTATATTACATGCAAAGCTCAAATATTGAAGATGGCTGTTAAATCTGTCGGTATGGCAGAATCGAAAGAATTGTTAGATAAGTTGAGATATCTAAGATTAGTCAAGTTCTGAAAACCATCAGGAATCTGCTTGTAAAAATCACGAGAACTTGAATTCAAGTAAAATAAATCATGAAATCTAAACATCCAATCAGGAATGACCGAGTTAAATCTGTTGTGGGAAAGATCAAGTAATTCAAGCGACGTAAAAATAACAATACCTAAAGAAGGGATATGCTTTAGATCACATCTGGATATGTGCCATTCGACCAACAAGGGAATCTCGTTTAAGTCGAGCAACCAATTAGTTGCATTGTCAAGATCAATACCAGCCGAATCCAGGAGCTTTAAGGAAGATAAATGAGAGCCATATAATCAATTTTAAGCTTAGTGTTTTTAAAATGTCCATTAGAATCTCCAAGAGTAAGGTAGTGCAAATGTGACAGATTTCCAAGTCGTTGAGGAATTACTCCCTGGAATCCAGCCTGGGAAAGATCTAGATACTGCAAAATTTCAAAGAAACAGTGGAACCTGGAATTCGAATCCCTTCAAAATATCGGTACAGCTCAGATATAATCGAGACAGATACTTCAAATCAAGCAAAGAAGGATTCAGCTTCCCTCCCAACTTATATCTCGAGTGAGCTTCAAGTTGTGAGGATTATGAAGGCGAATCTCATGAACTTCAGATGTTATATTGTCACAAACGATCTCAGCCCAATTACAGCTATCCTCACCAGCCCAAGAAGAGAGCCGTTTTTCCAGGATCTTGTAAATCATTCTTGAACAGCAGAATGGCCTTCCTCTCAGTAGAGTGATTTGCAGAAGCAAGTATTATGTGCTGTTAACCAGAGGCAAAAGAGAATCCCCATAGATGTGGTAAATAGAACCATGATCACTCAAGAACAGAATCAGGTGTAAATAATTATAGATGTGTTTGCAACTCTTATTGCCTATTTGTATCCCTTAGCTTTCATTTATACTTGATGCCTTGAAAGCATGAATTTTTTTTTTCATTTTTTCTTTTTAAGACAAATTAGTAAAATAAATTAATCTGTTTATTTCGATATGCAATGTCTAATGTGGAAGAACTCTATGTTGATACTACATCATAGTGTCGTCTTTCACACCAGACATTCTGTTAGAAAAACTAAAGAATTTTAATTAAGCCCTTGTTTGATACACATTTTTTAAAAATACATTCTTTCAAAACTCATTTTCAACCACACGTTTTTAAATAAAATAATATTTTACATTACATCAATAATTTTCCCTTATTTTTTAACCACATATTTCTCATCATATCACTATTTAAAATACTTTCTTTTTTCAATAATATCCATCAAACACACCAAATAGCCAAACTGAAGCCTAAAGCAAACTTAATAAAATAAAGTTAATGACTAACATGAAAATTCGCTTGCTATAAGTTGAATGACTTTGGAACCCATTTAATATTTCGCTGTTTTTATTTTCTCCAAGTAGTAGTATCAATTATTTGCAAGAGGAAGTTGATTTTTTTTTATTTTTTTTTTTCAATACTCAACACCATGAACCCTCCTAAGAGAGTGTCCTGCTGTCACTTTCCACAGGAAATATCTAGGAATATTTCCACCAAAAATATCTCAATTAAATACGAAAATGAGGATTTGAGACTGATATATAGTGGTTGATATACATTTCATTTTTCAACCATTATGCAAGCAACCCTCAAAGGATTCCCATCCGAATACGGGAGCCTTGTATTCAAACAATGAGCTAGCACAAGAAGAGTTGTATTTTGTACTGATTCAATCATCTAAACATAAGGGGATGTACGACAATAACTGCAAAACAAAAGATTATGCTACATGTACATAATTTTTATACCGAATCCGGAATCTTTTACGCCCCACTCACATTAGGTGGTGGGGACCACGAGCCGGAATTTTTAAATACACATGGGGCCGGCGCCAAATGTGAGAGGGGGGACACCATTCGATACCCCCCATTCGGTACATTTGGCATTCCCCAATCCAGAATATCTAAACCACGTCAAATAAGCAGAACGTACAATTTATCGCTTTTATAACTAAGAGACGGCGATTTTACGTCCAAGGAATGATAGATAAGCTTAATGGAAGACAGAGATGAAGTTTTCTTCGAGACTTTAGCTTGTATATTCAAAGCTTCTGGTGCTTATAGAACACGACAACCAGTTAAGTAGAACAACCAGATTTCATCATACAAAATAACATTTTCCAAATTCGAAGTAAAGAGAAAAACACAAAAGTTGATCTGATAGAAGAACTGCTGGATTTACTTTCTTTACCGAAAGTTCGAAGACATAGTCACCTTAAAGAAGAATTGAAACAATAACACTGAATAAAAACGATTTGTTGCTCTGTTTCCTCTTTCAAAATGACAACGTCAAATTGGGTATACTTCATCAACCAGTTTGAAATTATTCTAAGAATAGAAGAAAGTTTTTATTAACCTTGAGACATTTTGGAGAATAAGCATTTTTTGAGAGCCAAACACGAGAATCCTAGGCTTCCCAACCCCTCAATAATGTGGCACGAGCAACACGATTCACACCCAGAGTGAAGGCTCCCATGCGAAGGTTGCAATCGTGAGACTGACACATATTCTTGAGGTTATGGAAGGCTCTTGTCATGTATTTCTTAAGTTCCCGATTCACCTTCTCTTCATCCCACATAAAACCTTGAATGTTCTGTGTACAAAATTCATAACTACATCTCAATGAGTTTCAAGAATGATATCTTTAAAAAAATTATTCATCAAATAATTGAATCAGCAATCACGCTGTCATGTCATGCTTGTCTATTCCCACATTGATTAACAAATTTATAAGAATTCGTAGGAGGAATTACAGAAAAATATAATCACTTGAAGTCATCTATTTGCAAAATATCTTGCTGTTACAATAATTGTGAAAATAAACTAATTTAATTTATCACTTATTCCCTGTCAAAAAGAATGCTATGAAAAATTAAATCCGATATTTCAGATGATTGATATGCGAATATGTGGATGTTTTAAAATGATTAAAATATTTGTTAATTTAATTTCTCACTGTTTTTAGTAAAATTGAGAGGATAAATTATCAATTTCTCTTTACAATAAGATCAAGTGAAAAGAAATTACCTGAACCCACTCGAAATAGCTTACTGTCACTCCTCCTGCATTTGCATATATGTCAGGGAGTATTATAACTCCTTTCTTGGACAATATCTGCAACAACACAACATTTTGTTATTTAAAAGAAGTATATACCAGAAGAGAGAACTTAAACCATACTTGGGAGCAGTTTCGCACCTCATCAGCTTCGGGGTCAGTCGGATGATTTGCTGCTTCTATGATGTACTTGGCCCTGACGTTTCCAGCATTTTCTCTTTCAATCAAGAAAAGAAATGGGTAAAAGTTAGTTGGAACTAAAAAGGTTCAAGAATTCAAAACGAAACATGTGAAAGAATGAGAATCCAAACGTCCAACAAAAAATAAGCAAGCAAATATGTAGTCATTGGACAGATTTCACTCATGAAAACACCTTGCTGCGTTCCTTCGAAGATTTTGTGCAATAATTAGGAATAACACCAACCACATATTCTGTTAACCTGTTCAAAACTCCACCTAGAGCGCATGGTATGAGAACATCACATTCATGAACGAGAACTTCATCAGAATCCATTGCATCACCACCTTCGAAATCAGTTAGCCTTCCAGTTTTCTCCTTGTGCTGAAGCAAAGCTGGTATATCAAGTCCATTAGGATTCTTCACTGCTCCGGTTATGTCACTCACAGCTACAACCTTACCACCTTTCTCGTGTATGAGCATTGCAGCCCACGATCCAACATTTCCAAACCCCTGAATGATAATGCTTAGTTAACGTCGAATATTGCAAGTATATTGTGCATCTACATGGTTAAGAATGGATAAAATGGAGTTCAAATTTACTTGAATGAAATTATACCTGAATGGAAAATGTTAAATCTTTTATTGACTTGCCATGCTCGGCGAGTAATGCTTCTGTGGCATATACGACACCACGGCCAGTTGCGGCCTCCCTGCCTAGTGAACCGCCAAGATCCTGACATCCAAAGGTAAGCGTTGAACTTCCTCGGCTAAGATGGAATCTCATCTTAATTTACAAGATAAATTAAAAATATAATATTTAGTATCATCGAAATACTTACAATTGGTTTTCCTGTCACAATAGCAGGCGAGTGACCATGAAATTTTGAGTACTCGTCCAAAATCCATGCCATAGTCTGCACATTACAAACACATTAATCACTTCTATGCAATATGTTTATGACCACAACAGACGAAAATTATTGAATAAAAGAAAAAGGGATAATAGAAATCAGTAACCTGAGCATTGGTTCCCATGTCAGGTGCCGGTACATCAGTATGAATTCCTATAAGATCGTGAATCTTCTGTGTAAAGACACGGGTAAGGCGTTCCAACTCACTCTTGCTTAAATCTTTTGGATTACATCCTATGCCACCCTTAGCTCCACCATATGGAATGTCGGCTACAGCAGTCTTCCAAGTCATCAGTTGGGCAAGAGCATTTACCTCATCAGGGTCAACCTTTCAGTTTTTAAGAGCACGTCAGCACAAAATATGAATACAAACAATTTCAAAAGTTTGCTACCGACGTAAATAATGAGACAAAAAGATTCCGCAATTACAAAATGTGAAAAGTTAGTAGAAAGGCCAAATAATATACGCAAAAATCTTATCATGATAAATCTGGGAGATAATACAAGGTTCTTGCATCTAAACATCAATTATGTCTTTCATTCGTTATCCATTTAAGTCATATCACAGCAACTCATTGAGCTTTTTAGTGGAGTATACTTAATGCAGTAAATGAGTTCCATTTCCAGTACTTAAGAAGGATCATTTAAGCCTATAATAATAACAAGATTTCATTTTCTTTTTTCAGAAAACCAGTCTGTGATCTGCCTAAAAAAAGTCTTCAAAAAAGCCATTAAAATCAACTAAAGAAAAGAATGAAAAAAGTTGTCTTATATTCATTCCCTATACAATTACTGCTGAATTCAATCAAGAATTTCAAGAGCCTTGAACACAAAACTCCAGAATCCACAAACAAAATCAAGCAAATATAAAAAGAAACAAAAATACAAGTATATACGCAAGTAAAATAACAAAAAATCACAACCTCGGGATGGTATCTAATTCCTCCCTTCATGGGACCACGAGCATTGTCATGTTGCACTCTAAATCCAACATAAGACGCCAGTGTTCCATCATCTTTAGGAATTGTGCACTCCACCTGAACATCATCATACCCATAAACTACATCAAGAAAATTTCAAAGAAACTGTACAAAATACCCGTAAATATATCTTTTACCAGCCCAGTGAGGCCACATCAAGAAAACGAACAAAAGAAGCCTTAAAGATAAAAACAAGAATGCAAATTTACATAAATTGACCAAATTTTACACGTAATTTTTCTGTTTTACCTTAATCTCTCTAAATGGGATCAAAAGGCTCTTCTCAATCTTGGAGTCGAGCCCGAGAATGCGAGCCGCTTGACGGAAGTTGCGATTGGTGGCCGAAAGGGCATTCATTGCAAAGCTCTGTTTATTAAATCAATTGCACAGTTCAATTAAAAAGGAAAGAAATATCTGTGCACAAATCCAATGTCAATTAGCAGTAGATCAGAAGAACTTGAATCAAACTGCATAAGGCATGCCAGTTTGCTATCTATTTATATTCGTTGGGCGATTGGTATTGGGGTAAGGTTGATGAATCACAGTTGACAAAGCAGGAGAAGACGGGCGCGTACGTCTAGAAAAGGTCAAATTTTCTTGCTGGAAAAATTAATTAAAGAATTACTTCTTTTTTTTTAAAAAAAAAAAGCAAGTTAATAGCATTAATATATAGTTAAGAACATCATCAAAAGAGCCATATCTTAATTTATTGTCAAATGCACTTTATAGGTGACATTGTGCCCCTTCTTTGTTGTCCAAATTTGCATTGGACAATGAATGAAAATGTCCACTTGCCCACTTTCATCCGTTTCAGCGACAATCAAAATTTTATAATAAGTATCATTATTCGTTTAAAATTTATTTGCAATTCAGTAAATAATACTACAAATGAATGGATCGTATCAATTTGTAAAATAAAATGATTTGTACATAGTAATATGTTTCGCCACCACTTTACGATATTTATATAAGTATATATGTTTATCTATCGATATTTGATGTTTTCGTACTTAATTCAATGGACACATGAACGCTTATGCATTGCTGCACTTCGCTCTAGCACCCATGAGAACTCTCTCCATTTCATTTTGAGATATACTCAAAAAATCCTCTTTGACCTCTAATGTCTCTTGGGCAGATTTTAAAACGAAATAGACCCAATTGAAGTAGGGATTGCAAAATGTTGCTCTCCCTTGTTTATAATTTCAGTATGTTTTGAATGTAATTTGTATTCAAAAAATAAAAACTTGATAAAAATAAGTAAATGGGAAAATAAGACCATAAATGTATAAATATGACAAAAAATTGAGAATATTTTAATATTGTCTTGCGATCATAGTTATTAGATTTGACTCGATCAAGGTACTGGATCGTAGGCTACTAATTGAACTGGTGGGTCGATGATCATATCGATGGGTCCTTGATTTAAAATAATACAAAAATTTATTAAAGTACAATTTTTTCTCTTTTAAGTCAAAATTAAAATTTTTAAGTTATTCATTAATTATTTTTATATCTTTAAGTTACTAATCTTCAAGTTGCACTCGAGTCACATGATCCTACTTGACCCGATCAAGGGTTTAGGTCGTCGATTTTCGATCTAACCAACCAGGCTATATCAAATTTAATAATTATGCCCATCTCCACGTGGTAAAAGGGGAATGTGAAAAAACTCCAACTTTACTTGAGACTGTCGCGTCAATGGTTCGAATCCTGAAATATGAATTTTGCATTTGGGTAAGTGCAAGTGTACAAACAGTCTTTCACCCTGTGCCCTTGGAGGCATAACCTGCGATTTATATCATTCATCAAGGCCCAGGTCAGGACAGGTGGGGACCGTCAAAGATGCGGCTCATCATTTTTTAATAATTATGAATGTAGCACTCAATAAAATTTGTGGGAGATGGGGAGGGCCATCCCACCATGCCCCACCATTGTTATCATTAAATTAAATTGCTCTCTCTCTCTCTCTCTCTCTCTCGCCTTTTCTGCCTACTTACATTTCAAAGGCGATATTTGTTTATATTAAAAATAAGATGACATTTTCAAGTTTGGTTTTACTACACCTACACCTACATCATAATTAATATTTAGGATGACATTTCATAACGCGACAATCAATTTAGTCATTGATTTCTCTTGCACTTATTTAAATAAATGATCTCGATTTTACATCTAATCGGATGCCATCCAAAAAATACACATTGAATGTGCAAGTTTCAAGTTTTATCATAGAAGAGTTCCCCATGGTATGACAATGGCAGCCGATGAATGCCATATCCGATATGATCATATGAAGAAATCAATTGTGCGCTTTGGCCACCTATATACTTGGATTACGCTTCCACCTCAATGGTCTGTTTAAAAGAACAATTAATTATTAATTAATCCAAATTGTTAGTTTATAATTTAATAGCCAACTAATCAAATTCTATCCCGTCAAATCTTTGCCAAATTAAGTCGAGACTCTGTGAAGATAAAGGTATTTTAATGGTCTATTTATTAAGCCAAATCCGTTACTCTATTGAGCCAAAATCGCATCAACGATTATTAAAGTTAAAATTTAAATAAATAAATATGTTGACTTATCGATTAGACAAAATAAAAGGTAGAAAAAGGATAAATGAGGGGAGAAAGGAAATTACTTATTTTGATTAATTATATACCTTTTTTTTTTTACATTGTATTAAAGATAATTTGTCTCGTTCTGATACTGAATTGTTTTCACAAATAATTCAATAAATTTTTGGAGGGAGAAGATCAAGATTTTGCAAATGAAATTAGATTGGATTGATTGTTCCCAATTGGAGAAATTAGAAACCATAAAAAAATGATATGATTATGATCTTAAAGCCACAACAACAGATATCAAATCGAAAAGTGTAATATTATTTATAGTCAGTGACTGCAACAGTTATTTTATTTGATAGCTTGTTATTTCTTAAAGCCACATCAACAGATATCAAATCGAAAAGTGTAATATTATTTATAGTCAGTGACTGCAACAGTTATTTTATTTGATAGCTTGTTATTTGAATCATTGAATTTCTATAATTATGTTGTCTCGAATAACAAGCCATGCCTTATATTACAAGTTATCATATATGATGATTACTGTAATTGGTAACTGTGAATAACATTATTTAATTCAAAATCAAATGAACCAAAAATTCATCGAAAAAAAGTTGGCGGAGTAAATCCCTTAAATAATGTTATCTAGTGTCGTGGTATTAGAGCACTCGTTTAGGTGGTTAATATATTCAATTATTTGAATAATGTGATATTGTATTTAAGTGAATTTATTATTTAATATCACGTAGTTATCGTCTAAAAGGGCGTGCATTACTCAAAAAGGACAAAAATTGTCAAAAGGACATCAACACTATTTTCTCTTGGTGAGCGGACGAGTGACAGTGACTTTGGGAACGCGGCGACGCGTTGTCGCACGAGATAGATGTGGGACTATTCAACAAAGGATTGTTCAATTTGCCAACTGCCAAGAATTATCCACAGAAATAATAATAAAAAAAAACAACATTTCCAAATAAAAATGTAAGAAAATTTGACTAGAACAGGCTGAGGCGGCGGCGATTCGCGGCGTCCAAGAGCTGCTCATATCTTTTGCAACCAAATGACCAATACACAGAAGATTAAACAAGAAGACAGTGAGGACATGGGGTGCGTGGAGTGGCACGAAAAAATGAATCACCAAGAAAAAGAGTGCTTCGTGGATAAAAAATAAAAATACACATTTTTTTAGAATTTAGATGATATATTTTTTAATAATGCTATCTAATACCAGTAATGTTAGAATATTAGCTTAGGTAGTCACACTTGGTATGTACAATTAAATGAATGCTTTGACTTTACATTTAAATGAACATATCATTTAAGAATAATATTATTCATCCCTAGTGGGATTACAAACACAGTTAGATAACTCTAAATGATAGGTTAAATGAAAGGTAAAATTAAATGACTTGTTTAATTTCACATATCATTTAATGCCACATTAACGTCACATAGACTGTGTTTGTAACTCCAGTGTGAATGAATGACATTACTCATCTTTTAATCACATCTAATTGCTACCTAGACTGGTGTTAAGTACCGTAGTGCTAAATATCATTCCTCTATATTTTTGCTCTTGTTTGGTCCCTATTATTTTTTAAAATACATTTTTCTCACTCTTATTTTCAATCACATATTTTTTAATAAAATAATATTACACGTAAACTCAAAATTTTTCTTTATTTTTTAACCATACATTTTCTATCAAAATACTATTCTAAAATATATTTTGTGAAAATAATGGGGCTCAAACATTCTCTTTTATGTATTTTTAGAAAATAATTCTAGTAAAACATAAATGGATGATCATTTAGATTTTAATTAATATCCTCACTTTGAATCAAATAAACTCAAGACGGCTCGGGTTCAATAAAAGTCAGACATGGACTATGTACTGGCTGGCTACCATTAGAAAAATTCTCTTTTATCACGTGCAATCTCACTAATAAAAACATATAAATATTCCATGGAATTCCACTTTCACGGTTGCAAAAAGAATTTAAAATTCACTTATTTACTTGAATTTTGGTGGTGTGCCAGAAGAGATGCACCCACTTGGGTGACCGACCCTCACAAGAGGGTGGGATCGACACAGGACCCATGTGTAATAAAAAATGGAAAAAAAGGCCCCACCCCCTCACAAGTGATATATTTTTTTATATTTTCCTCCCTTTTTGCATAGCCATACATGCCATGCCATTCACACTTTTATTCTAAGTGCCATTTATGGGGCAATTGTTGTCTAACAAGTATAGGTACAAAGTGAAAGACTAATTTCGTATAAAAACCAGCTACATCGATTTTTAGAGCTACATATCATTTCACCCACATTAAAATCATATCCCAGCTAAAACCGCCAACATGTTTTTAAATTTTCGAGTTTCTACCATGCAAATGCTCACTTGATCCATTTTTGCTCGAGGGTTAAAATGTGTTCAAATGGTTATTCATCATTGGTTTTGGCAAAAGAAGATTGGAGAAACTTAGAAATCAGCCAAGAAAATGCTTCGAGGGTGGCTATGGATTTTTTGCAAGACTCGATATAATTTCAGAAGATATCAAAATGAGAGGCACAAATGGGAGCAAGCATCCGCATGCTCTCAATCCGAAGGCCGTTTTGCAGAGTACTACTCAGCAACTGAACGTGCCCAACAAGGATAGGCACAAAATTTATTTATTTTTCTTGAATTCCTTAAACTTTGTTTGCAACCCCGCTAGTAGAAACTTAAAATGGGACTTTAACCCGAGTGTAGTCTTAGTGAACTCCGACAGCCATGCCAGAACTA